GACCCACTGCAGTGGGTTGGGTCAGTGTCCTGAGGTAGGAAGTGAACTCAGTCACTGGGGTCAAGGCATTATAGGGCAGAATACACCTTTATTACATACACAAAAGTGGTGGATCAGGAGAGGCAGACCTGCCCTTCTCCCTGAGGAGACAGGGCTGGGAGAGTAGGATGCAGCCTAAGAACAACATTGGGCCAGGCCTGCTTTGAAGTAAACCAACTCTGCAGCCAGAATGTCACTATGCCCAGAGTGTTAATGATTAAAGGCTCCTGAGTTTCTGCTATCCCTCCCTTCCCTATCGCTCTGACCCTGGCCATACCCTTCATGTCAAAGAAGGCAAAGCCTGGATAGGGGTACTATACCCATCATGGCAGGGAACACAATATCTATGCTCTTAGCTAAGCTGACCATCCCCTGGACTTTATTCTCAACAGCTAGTACTAAAGAAGGTGTGTTTTGGAAGCATCCTGTCACCTTGTGGCCCTGGGCCTCTGTGAATCCTGATTGAAGCATCTCCACACCACCTCACCATGAAGTGCTTCTAGGTTTATTTCTTCCTGTGGTCTGGCCCAGTGTCGGCAGTCAGGGGCACTAAGCTGAAAAATAGAAGATCTCCTGGTGCTGAGTTGAGCAGATAGCACAATCACAATTCCTTTACCTTAACCAGGGAGCCAAGCTGCCCATAAGGCCAGGTGGGGGAATGGGTACAGGTAGAGTGATGAGGGTAGAAGGGAGGAAGGAGGAAGAAGGCAGAGTGTGTATCTATCTGGATGTGACACGGGATTCTTAAATAGTCGTGTGATCACAAGAACTCATCCCCACCCATCACCCCATTTCTCTCTTCCTCTCAAAAAGGCAAAGGAAAGACAGCTGCTGCTGCATTCCCCACATCAGGGAAGGGCCTTTCCTTCCTCTGGGTTCACACGCCAGTGAGAAATCTGGGACCAGGCTTGAGCCCTTCCTGTGCTTTCTCCATCTCTGGAGTCTGTATCTTCCCTTTTCTCTTAAACTCTTCTGCCCAAGGAGGCCCAGACCATCACCCTCTGGCCTGGACTACTGCAGAAGACCTTCTTTGCTCCAAACTTGCCTCCCTGCTACCCAGTTCACCACACAACAGGTCTGATTCATGTCATGGCCTCAGGTCCCAGGCCCCTGGCAGGTGCTAGCAGGCTGACACATTAAAGTGCTTGCTCAAAAGAAGGCACCAAGGGCCTCCTCTGGGCAAGACTTGGTTCTAGGAACCTTCTCTTGGGGAGCTTGTCATCTGGGGAGAGAGCCCTTGGTGCCCCAAATCAAAAACCCAAACCATCATCTATCATGTGATGACACATAAATCAATGCTGCTAATATGAAATGAATATGAATGGAGAGTATTCCGGGGTCCACCTTTGATGTGGCTGACCAGGAAGAGGAAGCCTCTGGAAGGAGGGAACATTTCAGCTGAGACTTGAATGAAGGAGAGGAAGAGGAGGAGAAGGATGCCACCATGGGAAGTTCTTGCCGTGGATTGTCCCTTATAGCAGAAGAGGGAAGGCAAAGACCACAGGTGGGGATGAGCTGGGTGTGCTCTGGGACCAGCTAAGAAGGTCAACGCAGCAGGACTCTAGTGACAGGGACTGGGGGTGGGTGGTGAGGAAAGAGAAGGCCATCTTCGGGGTGGGGGGGACTGTTGACCACGGGAGGAGGACTTTGGAATTTACTCTAAGGAGATGGGGAAACACAGGGAGGATCTGTCACCAGGGAGGAGAGGAGGCTGGTCTGGTGGTGTTGCAGAGTTTGCCTTGGCTGCCATGTGAGTGGGAGTGAAGTAGAGAGAGGGCAAAGTAGAGGAAGAGAGAGAAGGAGGCAGGTTCAGGGACCACGGAGACATGGAGAGGGGCAGCAGTCACTGACTAATGTCAATAAAATCTTATGCTGGATTAGACTGGGGTCAGGAACAAAAGAGAGGGAATAAAGAATCCTGGAATTTTTGCTTGAGCAACCAGGTGGTAGGTGGAGCCCTTGGGGAAGCCTGGGGAAGAAGTAAGTATGCTGAGGGGGATGAAGTGCTCTGGCTTGGACATATTCCTTCTAAAATTCCCATGGAGCATCCAAGTGGGCAGTTTGATGAGCACATGTGGAACTCAGGGAAGAGGAACATTTGGAACCATCAGCAGGCAGACAAACCCTCCAATGAGAGGACCTTGGGGTTTCCAGGCCTGAGGCTGGGAGTCCGCCATCACACTGAACTGGGATGGGCAAATAATCAAAGCCAGACCAGATCAAAGGATGCTCAGGCTGTGGGGAACACAGAACCGCTCCCATGCTGCTGGTGGGAATTCCAAGGACAAGTAGGCAAAGAGGGAGGAGGCCAACCAGAAGGTGGGGTGTCACAGAAACAGAGAAAGGACAGTGTTTTGAGAAGGAAGGAGCGTCAACTGTGTTGAGAGGTGGAGCAAGATGAGATGACAAAGGAGAGGCAGTAGATGCATCACAGCCTAGCCTTGGCAGAGTGGGTGCTCTGAGGCAGAGCTGTAGAGTCAACAGGAAGGGACAAAAGGAAGGTAGAAATAGGTGAGACTGAAGGCAGTGGAACTGAATCTACAGTTGGTGACATGGGACCCACATATGCTCCCATGGGAATACCCTAAGGAAGGATCCCAAGCAAATCATGGTGGAAACCAAGAAAGAGGACAGCATGAAGTGCAAGCCATGGCAGGTGGACTAATGTTGAGGTTCAGTGGACAGAAATTTGCCAGGCGGGTGTTAAGAGCAGCAGTTCACCTGTACAACGGTCTTGGCCCTCAATGGGGACAAGGGGAAGGAGTCTATGCACAAGGTCAACTGGGAAACGTGGTTTGTGATGGAACACTCATGTTTCTTCATTTACAAGCCAGGAGGTAGGAAAGTTGGGGGAGGGAGTAAGACCATATAGGCAAGCCAAGGTGCAACTATGAGATGAACTCCAATGTGGTCTACTTCTCAGAGATAGGTGAGTGTAAAAATATGAGCATCCCTTTGAACTTGACACTAGGACCTTTCTCCTAGAAACAGGTCAACAATGCTTCTCAGCCCTGGAGAGAAAACAAGGAAAGAGGATTCACAAAAGAAAAACTAGGAATGGCCAAAAAACTTGTGCGAAGATGCCCAACCTCACTGATGACCAGGTACATGGAAGATACATGGTAACAGGGTAGTGCCTTTCCCCATGGGATGGGCAAATGGTCAAAGCTAGACAAGACCAAAGGCTGCTCAGGCTGTGAGGTACACAGGACTACACCTGAGCTACTAGGGGTAGTGAGCGGAGCCACACATGGGAGGTAATAGAGTAGCAATGCCTAATCATGGTGGCAATGGGCACAGCCATAGTTCCAACAAAACCACTTCTTGGTATACATGCCAAAGCCTTACTCCCGACAGTGGCTCAGACAGGTATGTGCAGGGTACTGCTGACAACAGTGTCTGTAACAGCTGAAGACTTGGAACAGCCTGAATGCCCATCCATAGGGTCATAGACAAATAAACCAGGGCTGTGATTTAAGAAGGAGCATGAGCAAGCTGGACACTCGGGAAAACTTTGAGCAGTGAAGTTTGAGTGGGGAAAGCAAGTCTCAGAGAAGGATTCCGACCAGATGCCAAACAACAAAAGAGAAGGGGAGGGAGGTAGCAAAATACCTGGGGGTGTGACCCCGAGGAAACCTGTTTACCATTTCACAGATGGAGAGGCTATTCACGGGGCCCCAGATCACATAATGAGACAGGTGCAAGATGATGAGACCCTTGGGATTGGAGCTCTGTTTTGAGCTGAGGCAGCACTGCCCTGGTGCAGTGTCTACCCCAGGTGGCAAAGAAAAGAGGAAGGACTCCGGGTCAGACAAACAGAGGTCTCTGGAGAGGCACAATACTCATGCTGCACCTAGGGGCCTAGAGAGCACTGTCCCAGAGCCCAGAGGCTGGCCAGGGCACAGGGGATAAGAGACACATTGTGGGTACACACCAGCTCTCCTATACACACACTCAGGCAGAGATCCCAATTCTGTTGTTCCACCAAAGCAGGGCTATAAGAGGGAAGGAATTGCCAAAGATGCACAGTAAAATACAGTCCCAAGGTGTAGAACTTTAAGTTGCACAAGCCCATTTTTTAAATTGAGACTTGCAGCAAGCTAAATGGGAGAAGCCATGGCACCTTTCACTGGGCTGGCCCCTGTCACAGGGCAGCGAATCGCTTTGGCCCACCCTGAACCTTCAGTGGCAGACACCTGCAGCCCTCAGCCACCAAGTAAGGTGTAGGCACCGTCCTACGTAGTATGCCTGACCTTGCCTGAGTGCCTGTGGCTTCTAGTCCACAGAATCCCACCAGGTGCCCCTCTAGACCAGTTGCTACTTGCCTAGCCTTGGGACAGTACCAGGCGTGGGAGGAGAGAGGGAGGGGGACGGGAAGAGCAGGTGAAGAAGCCACAGAGGCTCCCCACCCCTGACCTGAAGGCAGCCCTGGCAGGCACATCATGGGCCCCTCCAGCCACTCCAGGGCTGGCATCACAAGGTGTGGACATCTCCCAATGCTGGCGCCCCCAAGGGTCATTTCTGGGAGGGGCAGGAGCCAGGATGGGATCCCAGAGGGGCACATCAACTCTCTGACCCTATCTCATCCCACTTGTGCCCTCACCTGCCCCCCCCCCCACCCGGGCTTGGGGAGGAGCCAGTGACATCACCAGAGATTCCAGGGCTCCAGCAGCTCTGGAAACAGCCTCATCACGTGACCTGCACGAACCAATGGCCCTGCCGTCTCCCAGGCGACCAGGAGGGTCCCAGTTCCTTCCCCACTGAGCCCTTGCTTTTGGTCCACATGGCAGAGAACCCTGGCAAGCTGACAGGCACTGATGCGATGCGCAGGCCCACATGCAGCCCTGAGACTGGGACAGGGAAAGGGAGGGGAAGAGACTGCCTGAGAGCCTGGGAAAGAGGAGCGTCCCTCCTGCATGGGACATGGATCAGAAACGACCACCCCCAAGACAAGGTAGGAGACTCAGGGAGGGTGAGCTTGGCCCCTGGAGACCCATCCGCCCTGAACCCCGCCCCAGCTGCAGCTTGCCTGCCTGGGAGCAGTATCAGAAGGAGGCTGCAGTATCTGTGAGCTTTCCAAGGGTGGGGACACAGTGTGGGCTGCAGAAGCACTGCCAGGGGAGGGGAGGCAGCCCAGGGTGGGAGGAGGGGGTCTGCATTAACTCTCTCTCTCCCCTTTCCTATTCACAGGCAGTGCAGACCTGGGAATTTCTCTGAGTCCTAGGCTCTCCCCCAATTCATTTCCCACCCTGTGCCGCCCTGGTCTGCGCCCAGAGCCAGTTCCCGCCCCTAGTAGCAGCCTCCACGCTGGCGCTGGCAGACACTGAGGCCATGGAGGTGACGATGCTGCAGGACTGGTGCAGGTGGATGGGCATCAGCGCCCGCAGGGGCCTGCTCATCCTGGGCATCCCGGAGGACTGTGACGAAGACGAGCTGCACGAGTCCCTGGAGGCCTCCCTGTGGCAAATGGGCCACTTTGAGGTGCTGGGCAAAGTGTTTCGAGAGGAGGACAATGCCAGTGCGGCCCTGGTGGAGCTGGACCGGGAAGTCAACTATGCTTTGGTTCCCAGGGAGATCCCAGGCATCGGGCGTCCCTGGACCGTGGTCTTTGTGCCCAGATGCTCAGGGGGGGACTTCCTGGGTCGCGTGTTCCACTTCCTGGAGCAACAGGAGCAGACTGTGGAGAGCGTGGCCGAAGCCCTGGGGCTGGGGCTGCGCAAGGTGTGCTGGCTGAGGTCTGTCAGTCAGGCCATCCAGCCCTGGGTGGAGACAGTGCGGTACCAGCCCCTGGGGGTGTTCTCAGGGAGGGACCAGCCAGCCCCGGGGGAGGAGTCCTTTGAGGCCTGGCTGGACCACACCACTGACATGCTGCTTGTGTGGCAAGGGGTCTCAGAAAGGGAGAGGAGGAGGCGGCTGATAGAAGGCCTCCGAGGGACGGCCCTGCAGGTGGTGCACGAGCTGCTGGTGGAGAACCCTGCCAGGACGGCCCAGGATTGCCTGGCCGCCCTGATCCAGGTGTTTGGAGACCACGAGTCCCAGGCCACCCTGCGGCTCAAGTGCCTGACCGCTTACCAACGGTCAGGCGAGACTCTCTCCGCTTTCGTGTTGCGGCTGGAAGTCCTGCTACAGAAAGCCATGCAGGAGGGGGCCCTGGACAAGGCCTCAGTTGACCACTTGCGTGTGAAGCAGGTGCTCACCAGGGCCAACATCATTGAGCCGCTGCGAGAGGTCCTGAGAAGGCTGGGCATGGTGGGGAGGTGTCCAACTTTCCTGGAGATGCTGGGGCTGGTTCATGAGACTGAGGCATGGGAGGCCAAAATAACCAGGAGCCTGAGAGCCCAGCCGGCACAAGGGGCTGCTGCCAGGGCCAGTGCCCAGGCTGATGATAGAGCCAAAGCTCAGGCCGAGGGTGACAAGGTGGTGGAGAAGCAGCAGCTGCAGGAGAATAGTGACAACCGTGCCCCTGCCCTTGCAGGCCTGGGTCAGACAGGGCCCTCAGAGGCCCCTGGGGGACCTATGCCTGCCCACATGGGCAGTGCTTCCGGGGCAGGTCCAGGAGGTCCTGGCACTGTGCCAGAGGGCCTGGCCCAGGCGGGAGACCAAGAGGCTGTGGAACACCCCCAGGAGGGGCTCAAGCCCATCCCGGAGGAGTCGGAAAGTGAGGACGGGGCTGGGGAGCTGAGCCCCCCCATGTCTTCCCCTGGAAAATAGGCTCACAAGGCCCGGCGCCCTCCTCTCCTTTCGGGCAGCAGAGCCCTGGAGAGGGGGAAGTGGGGGAAGCCAGGCCAGGGCAACCTCCTCACCCCACATGGGGAGCAGGGCCCAGGGAAGGGCCCGCCCAGCTCATACCATACCCCTTACTCCCCCATCATGCTATGGGGGCCTGACCACCACCATCAGCTCTTCCAAGTCACCAAGCTGACCATGTTTGACACCCAATGGGATGGGGAGAGGTGTCCCCACATGGTAGCAACACACCTGGCCTCAACCCCAACCCCTACCAACTTGGGCAGCTGGCCTGGGAGCACCGCCGAGCAGCCCATCTCAGCCTAGGAGAGGGGTACCTGAAGACATCTGCCACCCGTGTGGACTTGGAGACTTTAGAGCCCACCACAGGGGTGCCACTTTTGGGGACTCCCATTCTCCATCCCCTGGGAGACCCCAACTCATTTCTCTATAGGCCCATAGTGACCCATGTGTCAAGTAATCACCCCCCTCCACACACACACACACACACACACACACACACACACACACACACGCCATGGCTCCTGTGCAGAACCACCTGGTGTGTGTGAACCCAGGTGGGTGTCCTGCCCGCCCCCCCGGGGCAGCCACCTCTCAGCCCCGGCACGTGCTGTGAGCCCCACTGCCAGCCAAGGCTCTGCCAGCTCTCGTCCAGTGTCGTGAGCTCAGCCTCTGCTTTCTCGGTGTAGATTTAGGCCAACCGCTGCTTGTGCTTGTGGAGATGTGTGTGTTCTTCTCTGAGCAGTTCCCTACCACCACTCCCACCCAAGACGGAGACCCCGAGCCCGGGCCCAGAAGAATGGATGAGAAGGATGGACCAGGGCGCGTCTGGCGCTCATCCAGTGACCCCGGGAAGAACTGTACAGTGGCAGAAGGCGGCTGCCAGAGGCTCCACGGACACCCTGATGCTCTGATGCCACCCTGTTGTTCCCTGTGACTCAGTTTCCTCAGCATGCTGGAGTGTCCCCTGCTGTGTTTTCCAGTGTCCTCTGTCTGTCCTGTGCAGGCCACAGGGCAGGGCCAGGCCCCAGCATGTCATCCATAGGGGGAGGGAGCCCTGCAATGAGTGGACATCACCAATGTCCATGGTCCTTTAAAGTCCAATCAAGGGGCCCTCAGGGAGGGAGACTATGGTGGGAGGGCTGTGGTGTGGGGGAAGCTGAAGCAGCTGGTCAGAGACCCCAGGAGGCGGTGGGGGTTGTGACCTATGGGCTCTATTGGCCGTTAGAAGTTCCTCTCTGTGTTGTCATTCCCTTTCTTCAATGAATTCAGGAAATGTTTCTCTTCAATAAACTTCATTGAATGATTCAGCTGAGTTTCGCCTCTGCTGTGGGCAATTGAGGGAAGGGTCTGCTTGGTCTTGGGGGGCCAAGAAAGGATTTATGCCCAGTACCCATAAGAGACTTTTTCCGGACATCCTAATGGCCATGTCTTCAGCCTCCTAGGCCCTATGTAGCCTGGCTGCTCCCCCTTGTGGGTTTTCCTGTGCTGGCTGTTACAGTGGTTGCAAAGATTGCTGCTGCTCTAGGGTGCCTTTGTTCTCTGCACATGACCTGGACATTTCCAAACTTGGCCTTCACTAGACACTACTGTAGTTTGGTTTTGATTCCTCGGGTATGCAACACTGTGGCAGGTTGGGGAGGGTAGAAATAGCTCCTCTGTTGGATGCCTGGGTTGGCTGTCCCAGCCTTCCCCCCCCCCGCCCCCCACTGGCATTGCTAAGCACTGTGAATCCCCAGCTGGCCCACTTTTCATTCTTCACCCATCACACACTCTTGTCCCCCAAACATCCCTCATTGTGAACACCAAGGCTGGCCATTTGTCAGCTGGCAGGAGTAGGCTGATCAAGGATGGGTAGGCAGTCACCCCAGTACACCCCAGAGCCCTGCAGAGCTACTTGCAAGGGCATCTGACCTTACTTCTGGGCCCTTCTATGGTCCTCTGGTCTCTGAACTGCACACGCGATCTCCCTGACCTGATGACACTCTGGGCGCCCACACCCCTGTCAAGGAGTGTCTAGTGAAGGCCAAGTTTGGAAATGTCCAGGTCATGTGCAGAGAACAAAGGCACCCTAGAGCAGCAGCAATCTTTGCAACCACTGTAACAGCCAGCACAGGAAAACCCACAAGGGGGAGCAGCCAGGCTACATAGGGCCTAGGAGGCTGAAGACATGGCCATTAGGATGTCCGGAAAAAGTCTCTTATGGGTGCTGGGCATAAATCCTTTCTTGGCCCCCCAAGACCAAGCAGACCCTTCCCTCAATTGCCCACAGCAGAGGCGAAACTCAGCTGAATCATTCAATGAAGTTTATTGAAGAGAAACATTTCCTGAATTCATTGAAGAAAGGGAATGACAACACAGAGAGGAACTTCTAACGGCCAATAGAGCCCATAGGTCACAACCCCCACCGCCTCCTGGGGTCTCTGACCAGCTGCTTCAGCTTCCCCCACACCACAGCCCTCCCACCGTAGTCTCCCTCCCTGAGGGCCCCTTGATTGGACTTTAAAGGACCATGGACATTGGTGATGTCCACTCATTGCAGGGCTCCCTCCCCCTATGGATGACATGCTGGGGCCTGGCCCTGCCCTGTGGCCTGCACAGGACAGACAGAGGACACTGGAAAACACAGCAGGGGACACTCCAGCATGCTGAGGAAACTGAGTCACAGGGAACAACAGGGTGGCATCAGAGCATCAGGGTGTCCGTGGAGCCTCTGGCAGCCGCCTTCTGCCACTGTACAGTTCTTCCCGGGGTCACTGGATGAGCGCCAGACGCGCCCTGGTCCATCTTTCTCATCCGTTCTTCTGGGCCCGGGCTCGGGGTCTCCGTCTTGGGTGGGAGTGGTGGTAGGGAACTGCTCAGAGAAGAACACACACATCTCCACAAGCACAAGCAGCGGTTGGCCTAAATCTACACCGAGAAAGCAGAGGCTGAGCTCACGACACTGGACGAGAGCTGGCAGAGCCTTGGCTGGCAGTGGGGCTCACAGCACGTGCCGGGGCTGAGAGGTGGCTGCCCCGGGGGGGGGGCAGGACACCCACCTGGGTTCACACACACCAGGTGGTTCTGCACAGGAGCCATGGCGTGTGTGTGTGTGTGTGTGTGTGTGTGTGTGTGTGTGTGTGTGGAGGGGGGTGATTACTTGACACATGGGTCACTATGGGCCTATAGAGAAATGAGTTGGGGTCTCCCAGGGGATGGAGAATGGGAGTCCCCAAAAGTGGCACCCCTGTGGTGGGCTCTAAAGTCTCCAAGTCCACACGGGTGGCAGATGTCTTCAGGTACCTCTCTCCTAGGCTGAGATGGGCTGCTCGGCGGTGCTCCCAGGCCAGCTGCCCAAGTTGGTAGGGGTTGGGGTTGAGGCCAGGTGTGTTGCTACCATGTGGGGACACCTCTCCCCATCCCATTGGGTGTCAAACATGGTCAGCTTGGTGACTTGGAAGAGCTGATGGTGGTGGTCAGGCCCCCATAGCATGATGGGGGAGTAAGGGGTATGGTATGAGCTGGGCGGGCCCTTCCCTGGGCCCTGCTCCCCATGTGGGGTGAGGAGGTTGCCCTGGCCTGGCTTCCCCCACTTCCCCCTCTCCAGGGCTCTGCTGCCCGAAAGGAGAGGAGGGCGCCGGGCCTTGTGAGCCTATTTTCCAGGGGAAGACATGGGGGGGCTCAGCTCCCCAGCCCCGTCCTCACTTTCCGACTCCTCCGGGATGGGCTTGAGCCCCTCCTGGGGGTGTTCCACAGCCTCTTGGTCTCCCGCCTGGGCCAGGCCCTCTGGCACAGTGCCAGGACCTCCTGGACCTGCCCCGGAAGCACTGCCCATGTGGGCAGGCATAGGTCCCCCAGGGGCCTCTGAGGGCCCTGTCTGACCCAGGCCTGCAAGGGCAGGGGCACGGTTGTCACTATTCTCCTGCAGCTGCTGCTTCTCCACCACCTTGTCACCCTCGGCCTGAGCTTTGGCTCTATCATCAGCCTGGGCACTGGCCCTGGCAGCAGCCCCTTGTGCCGGCTGGGCTTCTAGGCTCTTGGTTATATGGGTCTCCCATGCCTCAGCCTCATTAACCAGCCCTAGCATCCCCAGGAAAGTTGGACGCCTCCCCACAATGCCCAGCCTCTTCAGGACCTCTCGCAGCGGCTCAATGATGCAGGCCCTGGTGAGCACCTGCCTCATGCGCAAGTGGTCAACTGAGGCCTTGTCCAGGGCCCCCTCCTGCATGGCTTTCTGTAGCAGGACTTCCAGCCGCAACACGAAAGCGGAGAGAGTCTCGCCTGACCGTTGGTAAGCGGTCAGGCACTTGAGCCGCAGGGTGGCCTGGGACTCGTGGTCTCCAAACACCTGGATCAGGGCGGCCAGGCAATCCTGGGCCGTCCTGGCAGGGTTCTCCACCAGCAGCTCGTGCACCACCTGCAGGGCCGTCCCTCGGAGGCCTTCTATCAGCCGCCTCCTCCTCTCCCTTTCTGAGACCCCTTGCCACACAAGCAGCATGTCAGTGGTGTGGTCCAGCCAGGCCTCAAAGGACTCCTCCCCCGGGGCTGGCTGGTCCCTCCCTGAGAACACCCCCAGGGGCTGGTACCGCACTGTCTCCACCCAGGGCTGGATGGCCTGACTGACAGACCTCAGCCAGCACACCTTGCGCAGCCCCAGCCCCAGGGCTTCGGCCACGCTCTCCACAGTCTGCTCCTGTTGCTCCAGGAAGTGGAACACGCGACCCAGGAAGTCCCCCCCTGAGCATCTGGGCACAAAGACCACGGTCCAGGGACGCCCGATGCCTGGGATCTCCCTGGGAACCAAAGCATAGTTGACTTCCCGGTCCAGCTCCACCAGGGCCGCACTGGCATTGTCCTCCTCTCGAAACACTTTGCCCAGCACCTCAAAGTGGCCCATTTGCCACAGGGAGGCCTCCAGGGACTCGTGCAGCTCGTCTTCGTCACAGTCCTCCGGGATGCCCAGGATGAGCAGGCCCCTGCGGGCGCTGATGCCCATCCACCTGCACCAGTCCTGCAGCATCGTCACCTCCATGGCCTCAGTGTCTGCCAGCGCCAGCGTGGAGGCTGCTACTAGGGGCGGGAACTGGCTCTGGGCGCAGACCAGGGCGGCACAGGGTGGGAAATGAATTGGGGGAGAGCCTAGGACTCAGAGAAATTCCCAGGTCTGCACTGCCTGTGAATAGGAAAGGGGAGAGAGAGAGTTAATGCAGACCCTCTCCTCCCACCCGGGGTTGCCTCTCCTCCCCTTCAGCGCCTCTGCAGCCCAGCTGGACCCACATTCTCTTCCTCCACACACTGCTCCCAGGCAGGCAGGCTACAGTAGTCCTGCGGGGGGGGGGGGGGGGAGGGGGGTTCAGGGGGGAGGGGTCTCCAGGGGCCAAGCTCACCCTCCCTGAGTCTCCTTTTTCGTCCTTGGCATGGTCTGTCCTGATCCAGGTCCCAGAAGGAGGGACGCTCCTCTTTCCCAGGCTCTCAGACAGTCTCTCCCTCTCTCTGTCTCAGGGCTGCATGTGGGCCTGTGTGTCAGCGCCTGTCAGCTTGCCAGGGCTCTCTGCAGTGTGGACCAGGAGCAGGGGCGC